AGGCCGTCAAGAAATTAATGGCGTGTTTGGAACACTTTCATTAATGCACATCATGTGTAATAGTTAAACGAACTGCTTAAACGTCATGTTAGTGTAACCTATATAATGTGTAAAGTTTAGTATACTCTAATCCCTTATAGTGATGGCACACGACAAGACACATTCGACATGTAATGCTGTTTGAATACAAAAAGGGAAACAAGATCTCTGTAGCCATAAAGAATATCAAAGAAGTTTATGGAAATGTTTTGAATGTTCAAAAGTGTCAAGATGGTTCAGCATATTTTGTTCAGGTGACTTTAGCCTTAAAAACTGTGATGGCAGGGGCTGACATGTTAGAATTGATATTGATGCTCTGAAGACACTTGTTGTGTCTAACCCAAGGCAACACACTCGTGATATGGCCCTGAAATTGCATGTCTCTCATGAAACAATATGTAAACATCTAAGGAATATGGAAAAACTCCTTCAAGAAGGTGTTTGGGTGGCTCACGTGTGAACGTTGCTTCATATCTTCTGGCGCATAATGTGCGTGAACCATTTTTGGACAGAATTGTCATCAGTGATGAAAAAGATTCTTAATGCAAATATTAAATGCCAAAAACAGTGGCTCAGTCCTAGAAAAAAACCACTTCCAATTCCAAAACCTGGTATCCATCCACAGAAAGTGATGCTTTGCATTTGGTGGGACATCAATGGAGTAATTCATCTCAAACTGTCAATGCAGAGATCTATAGTCAGCAACTAGAACATTTAAATCAAGCCCTTCATCAGAAATGCCATTCACTCGTCAATTGAAAAGGTGTTGTTCTTCTCCATGACAATGCACGTCCACATATGGCACGTTTGACGGAACACAAGATTATGGAGTTGGGTTGGGAAGTTCTCCTCCCATCCACCATATTCTCCAGATATGGCACCATGAGATTACCATCTTTTTCGTTTGCTGCAACACCATCTTAATGGGAAAACGTATACAAATGTGGAAGGTGTTAAAGAGGACATCAACATGTTTTTTACTTCAAAGC